ACGACGGGATTGCAGAGTGCAGGGTGCAGGAGTTAGAGGGTGAGTTTCAGGTTTACGTGCCGGACCACACAATGCTACATGGACTCACAGCTCACGCTTACCTGTGTCGGCCCGGCGGTGCCAAGCCGCTCCCCCCACAAAACCGTGCACGGTGGCGTCCAGCTCCATTGAAGTCACGTTCTTGCGACATTGCAGACACCGCGTTTGGTCAGGCATCAGCCGCCATTGCTCGAAGACAAAGTGCATCCCTTACCCCGAAGCCCAAAGCCCTCTTTGCGCCTTTGCGCACCCAAGATGGGAGATCCAGTCGCCCACTCCCTCCACACACCCGACATGTTGGGGACCTTTAAACTGCTCTCTGAAAGCTTCCGGCCGGGGTGCTGCTCTGGTCCGCCACAGCCGCGGCGGCTGTCTGGCGGAGCCGGGTCTCCAAGCTCTCAATCTCATCCTGGCACCGCGGCTCTGTAGAGTCGGACACTTTGGGCCACAAGGGCTTTTTGATCTTTTTGGGTGAATATGTTCCAACGCCACTTTGGGGCAGCATTCAACGAATGCTCATATAGAGCTGTGCTTGGGGATCATCGCACGTTAGCAGCTCTCAAAACCAACACGAAAAGAAGCCCTGAGCCCTTACTCACCCACACCTTGTACTGGCAGCTTAGGTATGTTCTTGCTACTCCAGGCATTCGGGAGCGAACGGTGAGGATCAGGCGGGGGGGGGAGGGGCGTTTGCGCTATCCCGCCCAGTAATCGGCCGTACCTCCCCAACTCTTGCTTCTGCTACTCCCCCCCCCCCACGAAAGAGCTAGCCGCAGTGCCCGCCCGAGCGTTAACATGACAGATGAAGGTGGTGCTTCTTCTGTGCCCTTTGGGGTGTCCTGGTGCTGGGTCTTGGCTTCGTGGCTGCACCGCAGCCAGTCAAGAACCTCGACGCAGCTGTGTCATTTGATGAGGTCCGACCTTCTTATTAACCGGCCTTCCCAGGCTTCGTCGGAGTTGCACACTCGTTTTCGGAGATACAAATGGGACGCACGCTCGCAGATTGCGACTTTCAGGGCCTGCGTCTGCAACTGACCGTCGCGAGAGATTGCTGAACCTCGCGCGGCCTGCCACTTGGAATTTCACAAAGGGCCAAAAAAGCTGTGTACGGTTCGGCCTTTGGGAAGGCGGGGTTCCAGCCGAAGAGTTTGGGGTCGATACATGTTCTTACGGGAACACCTCATCTGCACCAGGCACCCTTCAGGAGAACACCATTAGTTCCATCACGACGTTCGACCCTCCACACCGCACTCCCGTAACATCCGAATCCCTGTGCAAAAACACTCCCGTCTCGGCCTGGAACCGTGCTCCGCAGTCGCGGATACTAAAGCTGCCCTCCTGGCACCAAGTTCCACTGTGCACAGTCCCCAGCGTTTTGCAGGGGATAGGGGTGCTGGTACAAGGGTGCGGTGCAAGATGAAAAGGCCTGCAATTCAGCCAAGCCCGCTGTTGAAATCCCCCGCCCATCAACCCTCACAGGTCTCTGTGCAAGCATGTGGCCGACGGCTGCGCACGTCGTCCCCCATGGGTTCTGACGGCATGGCGCGCATCCATCCTGGCCATTGACGTTGGGCTAATTGACCAGAATAAGGTTCACAAAAAGCCAGCTTAAAGAACTGGTCTCATCTACAGAACGGCAGGTCTCAGAAACGCCGTGAATGGCAATATACCGATGACTGGCAAGTCCAGCAAGTCTTGAAGATTCTTGAAGCCTGCGCTCGCTGGAGCCGGCTCCAGCGCCCGCTTGAGGGCGATTCTCCATTGGAGAAGCCATGTTTTGTTTGATCCCGTAGCCTGCGGAACGCCTGCAGAACTGCCCTATCGGAGAACCCAGGGATCTGCGGGTGAGCATGAGAAATTCACACCATAGAATCCTGAAGCTCAAATCCGAAGAAAGTCTGCGCAAGGGGTCCTGCTACGTCGTGCTAATCATGTCCTGGCGTTCACGCCCTTTCCTTGCATGTGTTTGCACGTGCCTGTTGCACGCAGCTGTTTGACACCGCTTGGCTGAAAACCCCTAGCCCAAAAGGACACTTGGGCGGTTCGGCTCTGTAGGGCTTCTAGGGTGCAGGGCCTGGGGCATAGTTTGGGCGCCAGACATGTGTTGTGGTCTCCAGGACCAGACCACGCAATAGACCACCCGCTAATTATCTAACAGCATTTTCCGGCCGAACCTAAACTCAGAATTTGGGAGGGGGTTGCCAGTACTGGGGCGAAGCGATGAGGAGCTGACTGGGCCACTGGATGCTTCGCACGTGCATCTTTTCTGTGCTGCCACTGCCACTCATACTGGAAGTCGAAGTTGGGCAGAGTGGCTTTCCGCGTTTAGACCTTTGCAACGAAAACGTCAAGCATCAGCCTGGCGGTCAATGTCGGCTCGATTGGTCCACGCAGATATGACAGGGACGTACATTGATGAACGCCTTGTCGGTGGCGGGTCTCGCATAGCGGGGAAACCCCCACGAGCTGCATCCAGAGGTGTGGATCAACTGCTCCTCGCTTCATATTTGTTGACTCTGCGGAAATCACACCAGATGGCAGTGCCCCCGGGTCATCCAGGCTGTACCAACATGTTGACGTCACACCAAGAACAAGCGGTCGACGACGCCTAGGGCTACATCGGAGTTCTTGCAGCTGGCGATTCACCTTGTCAACGGCGTGATCTGAATTGCTCACCTACTGGTTGGGGTTGAAGTTGAAGGGTGCCTATTGTGGTGTTGATGGTGTAAGCACAGCAGCAATCTTCTCGGCAATCTCCTCGTCGCTCTTGCTTCTGCACTTGATGTGCACGAGAGTCGCGGGTAGTGCAAGCTCTACAAGATCCTGGGCATCCGTGCCATTTGGTTGCGGCTTCTCGTCTTCCATCATTAACGGAAGAATCTGAACTCTGTTTGCGTGAGCAAAGTGCAGCTCTGTGTACGTGGAGTACGCACCTGTGTCCTCGCCGTAGGTTTGAGTGCACACAGCCACCAGGACGCCACGATCTTTCTTGATTTCGTGCAGATACTTCATGACCAACTTTGAGAAGTCCTGCCCACCTGCAGCCTGGACCCAACGTACATTGTAATTCCACCCTGCCAAGATTTCGTACACACGTCTGGCTCGTTGCTGGGCTGGGCCGTCATCGAATCGCAAGCTGAAGAACGCGGGCCGTGATCTTGAACCATCCGGCCTGGCCACGATCGCCTGACGCTGGGAGAGACTCTCCGCTTTCAAAGGTTCAAAGGTTCAAAGGTGCGCCGCCAGATGGGTCTACGCAGGGAAAGGAACTGTGAGACACAAGGAGAAGAAGAGGGTTTGTGGGGGAGCCACGAGACGATAAGCGGAACGAGAACAAGAATGGAACGAAACACGTCGGCAGGCAGCTCCAAGGCTAAGCCGGGCTGCGACGTGATGCTCCAAGACGGCGCTGAAGCAAAAGAACGGCAAAGGTCCGGGGATGCAAAGGTTGCTGGCGCCAGCACAGTAGTTAACTCTCCTGCTGCCGCTACAGGCATTTTCCAGTATCGAGCTGCGGTTTTGGCCGACATGAGTTTGTGCAAGAGACCTGAAAAACATCATTTGGCCTCTGCCCAGCAAGAGCCGTGAAGTTTTGGTCAGGGAAGGAAGAGGGAGGGAGGGAGGGTTCTCCGAGGTCTGGAAGTCATCCGGCCTGACTCTGGGACCCTGGGCTCTTGGAGCAAGAAGTTCCAAACTTTCTTCGATCGTTTAGCCCGAGGCCAGGTCAAGAAAGACTGCAACCGAACTCAGACAAGGTGAGACATGTTCGACCCCGCAAGAACATGTGCGAAGACCGATGCGGGTGCTCACCACGCACAGCAAGGGGGGTCCTCGAAACTTTACGTCCAACAGGCGCCTGAAAGCTTGACGTTTCCAGAACAACCTGCCCAAGTAACACCCGCCTCCCCCCTCCCCCCCTCCCCGATGCCTGGCCTTGTACTGGCCCACGAAAGCCTAGGCACAGCAGTCCCTTCTGGTGTTGATCTACTGGGGGCTTTGAACTTCAGCTGGTACCAAAGGTTCTGTTTACAGTCCTAGAAGTACCCGCACGGACAGCTCTTCCCGAATTCTCAACGGGTTCCTCACTGAACATGTATTCTCTCAGCATCAACAACGTCCCTTCCCGGGAGCCCTGCGCGGATGGTGAGGGTGCGTGCTCGGCACTTGCGACGCTTGTCCTTGTGCTTCTGAGCCTTGTTTTCTCGGGGAGAGGAGCTCCCAAGCAGACCCCACATGGGACAAAGCGGTTTGAAATTTGAAGGCTGTGGAGGGCTTCTGGCACAGACCAGCGGCGCTCTCCATCAGCTCGCGTGTCGAGCGCGGCGCGTCCCCCAACCCACCTCGGCAAGGTGAAAGCTGAAGGTGCAGTTTCCTTCAAGGCTTCGACCCCCCTGGGAACCCCCTGCCTTCGAGCACACGCGGCTCGGAGCTGCTGGCGGGGGATCCAGAACCCTCGCTGCTCTCACACACCTGCGCTCTGCACCAGGACACGACCAACTTAACAAGACAAAATCAGAATCCCCACCTCGACTTGGCACGGCACAGTGGCACGGATGTACCTTGGTGCCAACTGCTGCGGGCTTCGATGCCTCTTCTATCCTCCTATGAGAGTCCGTGCATGCCTCAGACATGTCCTAAATTGCCCAACGCAAAAGGCAATCTTGCCTTGCTTGCGGTCCCAACTGCACTTGCTTTGCTTCAGCAGGTACATCGTACGGCACATCCTGCAAACCTGGGCTGGGTCGTAAGAAGGATGGCCCCTCGATTCCTGGGACGTTTAAGAGCGCGCAGCATACAGGATAAGATGGATCCTGCTGGGACTGAGGGATCCATTTCACCGTCGTGGCTTCATGACATGGGGTGGGCACGCCAACTAAGTTCAAATATCGAATGCATGGCACGACAGTGCGCAGGATTCGAGCTTGGGCAGAGGAGCTGGGCCCCCTACGCCTCATCTCTCTTTATGCAAGCAGCATCAAGCAGCAACACGCAGCAACTTGCAAGATCCAAGGTCTGGAACAACGATCATCAAAATTCGAAAGCAAAGGCACTCTGCCTGCCGGGCAGCGCAACGCGCGTCGAATGACCTCATCTCCGTCCTTGCCTCTCAGCCGTAGTTCAACATCGGGTGGTGAAGGGACCAGCCATGCAAACGTGGAGACAATCGGAAACTTCTCGAAGTCCAAAATCCCTGGCTCGGCGCTGACATTGTCGGATGAATCAGGCCAAGACAGCTCCAAGAACTGCTTGTGCGAATACGTGGCGTTTTTGAAGAGTGGTTCGCAGGGCCTGTAGCCCTCCAACGAGTCGATGTCCGCCAGATGCTTTGCGAGAAGCCGTGTGCAGTTTTCGCAACTGACATGTGTGATGGCCCACTTTGCAGCCTGAGCCTTCATGTAGCCCTTGATCTTGACCGGCTCTCTCACGGGCTCCAGGGCTCCTGCCACCACCTGACAGAAGTGTTCTAAGTGGAGGATGGCGTGGCCCGCACTGAACCGGACATCTGCCACTTCCTCCCAGCCGTTGGCATCAGAGCGCCAGACCTTCGTGGCCCCGACACAAACGGGGAAGACAAGCAGCACGGGCTCCTCGAAGTGCACCCCATGTGGGCGGAGCTCCAGCAATGGGCCCAGAACCACCGACTTCTCAGGCAGTGGGATCTGCAGTGGGACCTGCCCCTTTGCCAGCACCTCCACATCCAAGCCGTGTCTCTCGTAGGTCTCGGCCGTCGTAACCATGAGGACCGCATCGCGCAGCACCGCAACATCGCCGCTTCGCAATGAAATCTGCAAGCCCTCGGAAATGTCCAGCACGTTCACCCCCGAGTGCCCGCATCTGGCCTCGCTTGCCACACTGGCCGCGAGCTCGGATGCTGCCTGTGGCATCTGATGCTTCGGAATGTTTCCATACGGTTCCTACTAGTTCTCAGCATCTCCGATCGCTCTTTCAATCACAACGTCTCACAACCAAAATGGACTCGGCCTAGGCCAAACTGCGGCTAATTTGCAGCTCATACATGCTCATAGCCTCATTGCCCAGATACCTCCGCCTTTCGAAAGAGCGGGCACAGCAGCGTTCGCGAAACATACGGCGCAGTGGCCAGCCTTGTGTGCCAGTCACAAAAAAAACTGGATACGCAGGATGGGCTCAGCAAGAACAATCTGAAAGGGCAGCTACCTAGAAGCATGGCAGAACTCAGGTCTGACCTTGCATCTGAGATACACCGCCATGTCCGACAAAGCCTCCACCAAAGGTCGCAAGCCCTTGTTGAAGTGGGGGCGCCGGTCGCGGGCCTCACAAATGGAGGCCCAAGCCTGGTCCGGGTCCATCTCCATCTCGTCCAGAAGGTCCATCAGTGCAGGGGCACCCGATATCATGTCAGTTTTGCCGGTGGCCATCCTGAAGAAAAGAACCCCTTTCAACCTCCGAACCCTGGACCATGTACCATGGGAATGCCCCGACAACAAATACCTTCACATACCTTCACCCCTGAGCCTGCCGAACCTCAAAGCCAGAAGCATAGCATAAGTGATACCAGGAGGCTGAAGGACTGTGATCCCAATTGCGTAGACCTCGCTCTTCTCGTCGAACTTGCGGGTGCTTGCGTACCGAGGGCACATGAACTCAGCCGTCCCCTCCGGAACCTCATCCGACTCGGCCTGTTGGAAGGATCTTGATAGTCCAAAGTCGCTCAGCTTGGGGGTGAAATCTTCCATGAGGACGATGTTACCAGGCTTGACATCCCGGTGGTAGAGCTGCTGTTCGTGCAAGTGCCGGACGCCCGCCAAGATTCCGTGCGCAATCCTGACGCGCAAAGCCCAATTCAGCTTCGCTGCAAGCGTGTCTTCTTGCAAGGCCTTCTCGAGGCTGCCCTGCTCCCCGAACTCATAGATCAGCACCATGTCCTCCTGGCCTTTGCTGTAGCCGAGGAGGCAGATGATGTTCGGGTGCGTGATGCGTGTTAAAGTGTCGATCTCGGCTCGGTACATTCGCTCCAAATTCCGGCGGCTCTCGGCATCATCGTCCTGGCACAGCAGCCTCTTCACGGCAAATGCGCCCCCAGCATCCTCTCCATCCCTGTGCACGCCCATGTACACTTTGCAATGCGCTCCCTCCGCAACCATCCGACCTTCCGCCCAGTTCTCTGTGCACTGGACCACATAGGCAAGATCCACCTCCTCCGCCTGCTCGCTGCGCAGCTGTTGACTCCCCCACTTTGCCATGAAGTTGTCCAGCCAGCAGGCCAACTGGTGCCTACCAAAAGAAGAACAATTCCAATAACTACAACTGCAGCTTTCCCCCTCCACCCCTGACCTACCCCAAAACTGTCAAGCGTCCACGGGACCCCGCCATTCCCGATCCGAGAAATGAATCAACCCCGTCACCCGTGCACGGGTCTGTCAAACACCGACGCGAAAAGTTGTGCACATTGAATAAGCCTGACCTGTCAGTCACTGGGAATAAAGCGCTTCAACCCCTCTGCTGAGGGCCGAGCTCGATTGTCTTTCCTTGACTGCGCCGAGCCTGAGTGAGTCGCTCGACATGCCTTGGGTCAAACAGCTTCTCCGCGGCTGCTCTTGTGCACAGACATACATACATACATATATAGATATGCATGTATATATATATATACAAAACATATATACAAGCCAGGCCCTCCCAGCATGAGTTCCAGGGCCGTTCTAAATTGAGCTTGGCTACTCAGCGACTAAAGGAAGTAGCACAGCCAAGTCCGCCATCTCGTGCGCGATTTCATCTTGCTCAGCTTGCTTGTCGCCAGGGCGTCCAAGCTGAGGTTCTGCAACTTTCTTTTCGTTTGCTCTCTTCTTCGAATTCCCAGCATTCTCCAAGCACAAGAACTCATCCAAGAGGTCGACCCGAGTTGTGTCGATCAACGGCGCATTGCGGAAGTCCAGGAGAGTGTTCGAGTAGATTGAATCATCTCCAATATGAGCTGCCGTAAATTCAAAGGTCACATTGTGCAGCTGCGAATGGGCTTCGCCGATCGAATCCTGCGTTTGTGCGGAGAAGCTTTTGTGGACCCCTAAGGCATGTGGACTCACACTGGGGGCAGAATGCGCGCGTCCTCCGGCGCGTCTGCTCCTCCCACAAATCACGGCAACAGCACATCGTTTGTGGAGTCTGCAAACTTCAAACAACACTGTCGCGTCTTAAACAGGCTTGCCGCTACAAGGAGCTCTGATTTAAGAGATGAAATTCGAGACAAGGCCTGTCTTGCAGTTCGGAAAAACTTCATGATGCTTGTATCATGTTTCATGGCACTGCTCCTGGGTCTTGTGCCTCTTGGAGGGCGCGGGCATTTCCCAGCCTGAGGCAGAAGATGTCAGAACATCTCTATCTCCGTGCCTTGTCTGTGCCCTCATAGCTGTGTCGGAGTGCCTCCAATTTCCAAGGGCGTTGGACCGATGTGGCATCCAGCACACTACGAAGCTTCGTGCATGCTGCTAGGGTGCAAGATGCTGAATTCGCCCCTGCATGCCTGGATTGTATTCTGACACGAGAGTAGCCACTGAAGGCCGCAGCCATTTCGTAGACTGAAACTGTAACCACATTATAACCAAGTTTCTCTTCAACCACGCTAGACGTGGGACTGTCACCGGCAACACCCTCACAGGCAACTGATGGGGGAGCCCAGCATTTGTGCAAGGCCGTCCGAGAGCAGGGCTGCAACAGTGTCAAGTCGCAGAGTTTCACAGAAGCCCATTTGCCACAGCCATCAGCCCTCACGAAGCTGCAACATTTCTTATCAGGCTTGTCGCTCGAGGGCACGAGACCTGTACATGTGCGAGGCAGGATGGTCTCCTGCGGCAGGTCTTGCCAAAGTCTTGCCTGCTACAGATACTGCACGAGCAAAAACCTCGACGACTACCTAACAGACGGCCCTGTTCGCCACATGTGGGAGCTGGCGCTTGGCTCTGGATCATTGCCCCGTTATGAAAAGCTTCTGAATCTCCGCCATGATGACCTGCAAGAATAATCGAGTGGTTTCACCACAAGTGCTCACCTGCCCCCACCCCCCCCCCCACCCCCCCCCGGCCTTGCGTGGTCCGAATGCCTTGATGTCCAGGTCATCACGCAGCTCCTCCATGGTCAGGCTGCGTAGGGCTTTGCCACTGATCTGGTTCTCGCGGAAACTGTCCACATACCTAGCATGGAACATCATGTAACGCTGTGACACTGATGCCGGTCATTGCACATGCACTATGGACTATGGACATGCCTGGCCTATCCCACGTGCCAGCTGCATTATCCAAGCTCGCGAGCCAGCTCGCGACCCGCTCCACACTCCAATCTGCGGGAGTCGACTCTTGAAACGTCGCGGTCTCCGCGAAACTCTGCAGAGTCTCTGGAGCCTTCGACGAACATGCCGGACTCGGGGGGCACTCCGATGCCGCGGACACCGAGGATGCTTCGAAATCCGAGGCGACCGACAGTGCCGAAGCTGTGGCGGCCATGCTCAAGCCGCTACTCAAGTGACCCAACTGCTGATCTTCCGGATCTTCCAGTTGCAGCTTCAAGCCCGGAGGAGATTGTGGAGGACATTGCATCTTGGGGGCCACCCTCCGCTTGGGCAGCGGATGCACTGGCTTGGCGGCTTTCGGTTTTGGTAGGCTTGGGAAGCTGGCTGGTGAGGCCAGCTGCCGAGGATCCATTCGGGCCCCCGACGGCTTTGCCAGCCCTCCTTGCGTCTGAAATGGACTCGGGCCTTGGCGAAGTGGCCGGGCAATTGGTGCCGGCCTGCCTGGCACGTGGAAGTTTGGGACAGCCTTCGTCCACCGATGCAAGTCTGCTAAGCTGAGGTCCATCGGATTGTCACACTTCAGCACAGAGAAGCGGGTGTTCTTCAATATGACGACCGGGCCACCAATGAAGTTGACCTTCTTCCGCTGCTCCTCCGACAGCAGCTGGGTGGCAAGATGGTTTTCTCCGAACTGGTATCGTCGCCGGCCCTCCGCGTCCAAGAAGAGGACGAGCAGGACGAGCTGTTTGGCAAGCTCCGAGTTGATGACGCGAACCATCTGAAAGCCTGTAACACGCTCACACGGCATCTCCCCAAGCTCGGGAATCCAGATTCGGGCCGGCAGCTTGGCAAGCCTCAGTGTTAAGTGCAGTTCAAGATCTGGCAATTCCTGGCCGCCTTGGACACTTCGGTCGCTGAGAGTCTTAGTAGCTGAGCGCCACACGCCTCGCGGTCATAGTGATGCTGACTGAGCTTCTCTTCACCATACTCGAAGTTGACGCTGTCGGCGAAGTCGCCAAGAGCCACACCCTGGATGGGAATCTTGGTCGCAGAAGGCACGCTCACGGGCATGATGCTGCGAGGGTCGACCAATTTCACGCGAGGCAAAGGGACAACTTTCCAACTTGCTGGAGCCAGGCGGCGGGACAGGAAATGCACGCCAAGTGCACGCCCCACATCAAGACTTTCGAACCGAGACTTTTGCACACATGGCGCACAGCAGCCACATGCTTTTGCTTATAGTGCGTCGGTTCTGTGGATCTGTTCACTTACTTTAGCACCACCAAGACATACAGTGCATGCCAAGCTCAGCATGCCTCAACTCTCGGTGGTTTTTCGGATAGGAGCACTCTGACCTTTCAGGAGGCTTATGACTGCCCTTAACTAATCATAACTCATCAGTCTCAGATGCTGAAACAGCCGCATCGCAACATCCAGGAGGCAACAACTTTGTTATGCGCCTCTGCTCGTCAGAGGCTGGGCCGGCCGAACGCCACGAAGCTGCAGAGCAACCGACTGCTGGGCTTGGCCCCGCCGCCATTTGAATATCGGGCATTTTGGCCCTTCATGGACGAGGAAGCAAGCGCTAAGCCGCCAATCGTAGGGAATCCTACAGACCACGGCAGGAGAATTTCAAATCAAGTCCCCAGCCGTGATTGGCATCCGTACGGCGCGCGCAGACCTCCACAGGTTTGAGCTGCTCATCATTGATGTAGTAGACGACAAAGGTGTCCCCGTGCTCATCATTGCCCAGGCGGTAGCCAGGGTCTGCAGCATATGGTGGACAATCAAGCGCCCGGTTGACAGGCTTGCACTTGATGTGGTTGCCCCCAGATGCGCCAAGGTGGATGTCGACCTTTGTCTGCACCTTGTCCCTGGCTTTACAATGGATCTTCAGATCCATGCCCCAGCCATGGCTCGAATCCATACGATCTGCGCAGACGTAGCCGTCATCGAGAACAGAGATATAGAAGTAATCAGGGGCATGTACATGGTCTTTGTTAGCGCGCTTATGAGGATCACCTGCATCTGCATCGCACTCCAAGGCCTCCTCAGCCATGACGCACTTGGTCTTGCGACCGCTCGGTCCGATCGTCAGGGTCTTGGTCGTCCAATCCAAGACTTCCCCAGTGGGTGTGCAATCCAAGGCCAAGTCCAAGCCCCAGCCGCCGGAACCGTCCGTCCTCCTGCGCAAGAGCTAGGGCTAAACTCACGGGGCTCTAGCATTGTGACGCATGGCGTATGGAGCCCTGCTTGGTCGACGCGCTTTGACAGACTCTATAGACTCTAACAGCACCCGCCTTGCACACCAGCGGCCTCTATCGCCCTCGTACACCTCGAACGTGTCGCCATGCGCATCGAAGCCTGGGGAGCGAGGCAAGAAAAGCGGAGCACACACACACACACACATGTTGGCTTGTCCGTTCTTTACAGAGGTCTGAACAAGTGCAGACAGCGCAAGAGTGGCAAGAGCTTGCAGGCAAAGGCACCCAAGCGCTCCCCCTTATTGCCCGATGTGCTCGAGCATTTCACCGGTTCATCGGGCATCCAGCACTTAGAATTGCGCGAGCTACTGCCAATGGGGACAATCACACCCAAGTTGTCGTTGTCCGTCTGGCATGGGAGCTCGAGGTTCATGCCCCAGCCGCTGTCGGCATCCTCGCGCTTCACGCAGAGCTCCCGTGAGTTGCGACGACGCCTCGAGCGCCGACGTTGCGAGCGCCGCCGGCGCGAGTCCCCGCCCCGACGCCGACGCCGACGCGAGCGACGCCTCCGAGTCGGCCTGTAAACTTCGAAGTCGTCCGAGGCTCCGTTGTGGTCTTCGTTGGCACGGTGGCCTAGGTCACCGGAGCGTGCGTCGCAGGACACTCCGGACCACGCTTTCCCGCAAAGCGTTCTCGAACTGGAGGGGCTGTTCTTTGCCAGCTCTCGCGAGTTGTCGTGCTCCTGGACGCGGTGGTCAACGACCTGCAGCCATTTCCCGATTGTGATTTTGTAAACCCACAAGTCAATCTCCACGCCGATGAGCATGTCAACTGTGACACGAATGGAGGTGGTACCCCGTGCGTTATAGAAGTCCTGCAATTCACATGACTCACATACACTCCACATTCCTGTCAAATACCCTCGCCCCCCAACTATCCCAAGTCGCCCTCCGAAAAGGATGCAGAGCGTCCTTGAGGCAGCGGTACTCCCCCGAGCCCAGGCCGGCACAGTGATTAAACACCGCGTCCGTCAAATCGCCCAGGTTCAGGTTCGACTCCATGTTGGCCCTCACTCCCAAGGGTGGTGGCAGTGGGATGGGGAGTCCCAAGGTGAAGTGCATTTTGTTGATGAAAGGGAAGTACTTCAGCCTTCCCAGCTCTTTGCAAATGCGCCACCCAATCTTGTTCACGATGTCCCCGAGCGCACCGCCAATGCACAATTGCAAGGCAGCAAATAAGTTGAACTCCGCCATGAAACTGTCTGAGGATGTGCAAGCGCCATCCACGCCGATGTCGAGCATGAACCTGGCTGCAGCAAAGCGTCACAAGAGTGGGCACATGTGAACCATTGCGCACATGTGGACAAGGGCAAGCTGTGGCATAAATCAACAGTCCGAAAGTCAAGACAGTCTAGGCATCTCTAGGCTTCCGAGTCGGCCCTAAGGTGGCTCTGCTAGGACGGCTGCTAAGGCTCCAGGGCATAGGCAAGCATAGGCAAGCAACTTGAAGGGATCGCCGGGCTTGACTCCCATGCACGGCGAGCAGTAGCCGCCAAAGCAAGCGGAGCCCGTCGTGATAGCAGACTTGATGGTCGAGAACACGTCCGTCACACCGAGCATGTTCAGCTCCACGCCCGACACTGTCAGTTTGCACCACAAATCGTCAGGGGGGAGCCCTTGAACCAAGTCCTCCCCACAGGGGCCCAAAGCAGCCGCCGCCCGCGCACTTGAGCTCTTGAAGCTTTTCGAGCTTTCAAAGCTTGCCGTTTCCTGCAAGGCCGCCATGCCCATGTTCTGGCCGCTCGGGCCTTTTGCAGAGAGGTTGCCATGGCCCATGTTGGGGTCGCTGTTGCGCATGCTCATGCCACGCAGTCGGCTGACCACATGTGGCCTGAGACGGGCCAGCGGCTCTGCATGCCTGAGCGCATGGAGATGTAGGTGGAACGATGAGGTCCATACACAGAGACAGCAGAGATAGAGGCAGAGGCAGAGGCAGAGGCAGAGGCAGAGGCAGAGGCAGAGGCAGAGGCAGAGGCAGAGGCAGAGGCAGAGGCAGAGGCAGAGGCAAGGCTTCCCTTGACATGAAACGGACAAGCCTGAAGGCGGAGGCAGAGGCAGAGACAGAGGCAGAAACCCACCCACACACACACACACACACACACACACACACACGTACACGTATACATACACATACACATACACATACGCATACGTATACGCATACGCATACACATACACATACACATTTACATGTACATGTACATGTACAGTTACAGTTACAGTTACATTTACATTTGCATTCACATTCACACTTACATTAACATTAACATTAACATTAACATTAACATTCACATTCACATTCACATTCACATTGACATTGACATTGACATTGACATTTACATTTACATTTACATTTACATTTACATTTACATTTACATTTACATTTACATTTACATTTACAATTACATGTACATGTCCATGTACATGTACATGTACATTTACACTTACATACACAAAGCAAAGAGCACAGCCACAGCTGATTCTGCCGAATGGCTTGGCATCGCACAGGATGGACGGCTCGAGATCCACGCAGAGGCACTGGACATAGGCCTGGATTTCCTCGCTTTGGCTGATCCAATGTTCTCCATCCTCTCTCTTGAGCTGAAAGTTGGATTGGCAGTAGGAATCAATCGAAAACCCATGGACATCCTCGTAGTACGGGTGTTGGCATAATGCGCGAGAGCATCCGAGAGCGGCTTCGAGATGGACAGTTCAGAGAAGGAGGCTCGTGAGCTCAGCTGTCGGCTGAGATGATGACCCAACTGATTATGCGCATCGTGTAGGACGAGAATCGTCTTGGCGAGGTACTCCAGTTTCCTGGCGAACTTGTTCAGCTGCACCAGGCGGGGGCCTGAGATCATCTCTGCACAATCCGCAGAGCTTCCGAAATGGTCCGTGAAGAAGTCCAAGTCCAAAGCCTGTGACTTGCACAAGCCTGCCGCGTAGGTGGCAATCTCCATTGCCACCCGTGACTCTTCGTCGGTAAAATTCTCATGCAAGATGTCGCTTTCCTTCTGCGATGTCTCATTGCCCGCTTCCTCTTTCCCACACATCACGGCCATCTGTTGGATCGTCTCTGTGAAGCGCTGGATAGCCTCCTCGCTCAAATTCGCACTTGACAAAGTCGCCAGGGTCCGCTCCTCAAACTCCTTCCTGACAGGAGTGGGGCTCTGCAAGTTGTGCCAAAGGGTTCTGGCTAAGGGGCTACTGTCAAAGTGTGAGTTGCAAGGGACAAGTCATGAACCTTTGGCCTGCCTGACGATGGCCTCAGCAGCATCTTGACCTGCTACCTCAGCTCCACAAACAGCCGATTCATTACGCACGCAGCACAAAATGCATCTTCAGCAGCCGATTCGCAGGCCTACTTTCAGAGGACAACTCCCCCGACGCCCTTCCGACACCGCAGCCCGACTGTAAACAACACAAGGTGCTCAGCACCCCGGCAAAATTCCACCCACGGAAAGGGAAACAAATCGGGAGACGAATAGGGAAATGAGGTGCACGGGAATCACCCACTTGAAGGGATAAAAATGGGGCAAAAGTGGCAACAGCCACCAAAGGCGCCCGCAAAGTCTGTAAATTAGGATATTTAAACAATAAACCCTAGCAGCGGCTGGGAGGCTGAAATCAGCCAGAATACCTTGGCTGCTCGGATCACTTCTGGATCCCTTGGCCACCCCTCGGCCCTCACACCAGCACGCCCCAACCGGGCAAGGATCTCCGCTTCGCGTACCATGTCCCAACGCTGTAACTCTTCCGGGTCTCCTGATGCGTCGAGCATCCGCTCCTTCAAGCAAGCGTCAACCCCTGCAATTATCAACGACCCATTTGTCGAATTGGTGGAGTTGACAACAAGCGCCGCACTGGTCGTATGTACCACTGTGACGTGCCCATACTGCAGCAGAGCAGAGCTAGTGGCGCCATGTTCGCACACCTCTTCTGCCACGACGTGTCTGAGGCCCAGCAAAATGGACTGCAAGAGAACTGCCGACCACGTCGAGCGGAAAGCAGCCATGGCGGTAAAAAAGAAACAGAAATGGTAAAAACGTCACGCCCGTAAACTTTTGGGCTTGAAACAGCTCAGCGGGAGTCCAGTGTTTGCCTTTCCATCAGACATCTACAAACAAACCAAACGACCACGACACTCAGCACCAACTGCACAAAATCACTTGGCGTGCCAGCCTTCACTGATCCACGAAGTCTCACTCGAGGACTCTGCAAGCTCCCTTACTTTTCTGTGGAAATGCAACTGGACGGCAGTTTGATACAGCACCATATCGATGAAAGTGACCGTGATTGTATTTTTCCTCGCACCTGTTCTCCGCCAGCCGGAAAGTCACAGCGTCGGGGGTCATCGGGGGGGAATCAGCGGCAGGGAGGCGGCTTGCGGCGACCGGCCGTTCCCAACGCCCGTCAGCGAGGAGCTCATGAAGCTCGGGGAGGGAGCTGGCGAAGGAGCGCTGCGCTGCGACTGCGAGCAGCGCAATCCAACGGGAGATCCATGCTGCCCGTCCCGCGGGTCGTAAGTGCGCCGGGACAGTCGCAGCCCGGTGGCGCGCAAGCAGGCGGAGGAAGGTGGCTGCTTCAACGCCGAAGCGCCCCCCAACCTCAAGCCCGATCACGACAAGGCGGCAGCGCCGTGCCCGCTGCAGTTCCGGATACGTGCCTTGCCTCTTGCGCCTCGCTGCCGCGGCGATGCAGTGGCCAGGCTCGACGTCAGCCCGTGGGTGGGGTTCCCCTACACGCGTCAGCAGCGACACGAGGGTGGCATCGAGGGCGAGTTGCGCACCGTGCCACAGGGGGAACCCGTTGGCGACCACTTCATTCCGCCGGTCATCTGCGACGGGCACATCAATGTTCATGTCCGCGACACGCACATTCATCGCGACGGGGGCGCTGCCCTCACGGCAAACGCACGCGACCGCTCGTTCGAGCGGCGCGGCGCGCGCGGCGAGGACCCCCGACGTGGCGCAGGCAGCCCCCACAGCTGCAGGATCGCGGAGCGAGTGGGAGGGCCAGGCGCAGCCGCCGGAGTAGAAGGACACGGAACTGGGCACTGGGTACGCGCACTCATGGGTGGGCGAGACGGTGAAGGCGCGAGCAGAGCGAGGCCCTGCTTGCGAGAGCAGCAGCGCGCGGGACGCAGGTGGAAGGTCAGAAAGGTGCGTCTCACACGCGCGCTCATCGCACGCTCGGGCGGCTCGCCGCTGCCAGCCCTGCAGGGCATTGCCAGGGTCATCCCCTCCCTCTCGTGGGGGCGCGGCCGCGACGTCAAGGACTGTCGGCCACACAGGCGCGGCGAAACCAAGGTAAAGGGTTAGCAGCGGCGGCAGAGGGCAGGGGGATTCTGCCATCGAGGGCACTGAGCAAGCGTTCAGCAGCCCCGGGAGCCCGAGCCTGGATGACGGGAAAGGTGTCACACCAGGAAGCCCAGCGCGCAGCGGGACGATCTGCACATGCAGAACGCAGACTGTGTTCAGGCAGTTGCTCGGCATCGAGTTGGAGGAGCTCTGCAAGGCAACGTGCAACGGCATCAACGGCATCATCGTGGTCACGCGCGAACCCTTCCGTGAGGTGGGGCGGGAGGGCCCGGAGAAGGAAGCTAGCGCGGGGCACCGCGCAAAAATGAAGCAGCAGCCAGCTGCCTGCAAGCTGTCAGGCTGTGGGATACGGCTGAGCAACGTGTCATGCTCGGCGCGCTTGAGGCGGAGTCGCTCGCGGATGTAGGCCTCGTGGCCGAGCGGCGCGCCGAGTACCAGGAGCCCCTGCTGCGCGGGCGGGAGGGAACAGTCGCCAACCCAGACGGGTTCCGAGACGTCGCGGGTAAGGTCAGCGATGGAACCTGCAGCGTTCCAGACGCGTGTTTTGCCAGCAGGAAGCTGGACGCGGGCGTGCTCCCTCAAGGCAGCGCTCAACGCATCCAGAAGGGGGCGGACACGCTCCGGGTTCGCGACGATGTAGATATCGTCTAGGGAGGCGAAGAGGTTCTCCGTCAAGGAGCTGGTTTTGGACCGCCACGAGCGCGGGGTGTTGCGCGAGGGCACATAGCGCCGGCATGAGCGGGTCTCCCTGTTCGCCACCTTCGCCCTGATGGACGACATGCCCAACGCCGTCCGTGTCCTGCCAGGCATACGTGCTGGGCTCGGAATAGAATTGGCACGCGTAAGGGAGCAGAGGCTGGAGGGCGGGACGCTCGAAGAGGCCACGCAACATGACCTGGCGGGCGACATGGTCGAGTGCGCCGACCGCGTCCACCGACAAGATGGTGGCGCGGGGCGCGGCCTCCGTGGCGGCGCGCAACAGGCGCGTGACAGCTTCCGTGCCAGCGGACGTGCTCAGCCCGAACTGAAAAAGGGAGGCAAGCGTCCTGTTGTGGGGCAAACTGCTGGGCCAGGACGCGTCCAACAAGGCGGCGCAGCACATCTCCGACGATCAAAGCACGCACACGGCCGTTGGGCTTACGCAAGGCAATGATGCGTCCGACCCGGACGGCAGCAAGGACCGTAGCGGGCACCTCTGCACTGGCGAGCTGCTCAACAGGGCCATGAGCAAACGGCAATCCTCCTCGTCATCCAGCATGACGCGAAGATGCTCGTTGGTAGCCCCGGACGGGCCTGCCGCAGACCCCCGCCGAGCCCACTGCAGGCATGTGACAAGGGCGTGCTGCGGAAACGGACGCGGCAGCTCCGGCTGGAAGCGCAGCACCTCGTCACTGTGCGGGCCGTACGGTTCGGCTGGCCGCCCAGCTTGGGGGGCTGGGCTTGTTCGCCGCAAACCCGCAGTGCGGGTTGCCGGCTGTGGGCAGAAGAGTGATGAGGGCGCCGCGCCACCCTCGATGGGCTCACGTCCTGGCTACGGACGGTGAGCTCGGGCTATAGGCGGCCCTGGCTGGCAGCAACGCGCTGTTCTCGCACTCCACACATCCTTCCGAGCTATGAGGCACATCGCCCTCAGGCGTCGCCTACCGCTGCCATTGACCGCCCTGCATTGCGGCGGCGACGGCGCTCGCGGCTGCCAACGACAGTCGACGCGTTAGGTGACCACTCCTTCGTTGCCTGCCCGCGTACTGGCTTACTGCCGCGTCACAGTTTTGTCCTTGAGCGCGTGGCTGGCGATGGTGAAGATTAGGGGATGGGGTGTTGGTTATCATAGAATAGTGAGTCGGAGTAGGGCTGCCATGAAATCCACGTAGTTGCAAAGGCACGTCGTCTAGAGAATCGTAGCTAGCAGCTATCCATGATGCATATAGCAGTGCACTCCGCACTTTGCACTTTGCACTTTGCCCGTTCGAGTCACGAAGACTACGGTCCTTTCAGGACAAGGGACAACGGTGGGTGTTACGAGCTAATTAATGTGCGAGGCCGTGTCAAACTGTACAAAATCATGTCTTGTTGACGGCCATCTTGGCAGATGAGCTACATCAGACCACGAACTACATCCAGGGAACTGTGACATTACAAACTTATTCAGTGCACTCCGCGGTAGATCCAAAACCCTGAAGGAAAAAACCATCCCCCAACTCTCCAGAGAAACTTCTCGATTTTGCGTGTCTTGAGCCCCAATGCCGCGATGTCATCCTTCGCAGGGGCCATGCTATTCCTCTCAGCTCGAAAGGGTACACTTCTCGATTTGTGCACCAACACTCCTCCTCGGCTGAGGGGCCGGCCGCCCAAAGCCGCACAAATAGGCAAACTCAACTGCACATCACTTCCCAACCCTCCGCCCTTGACTCACTTTTCAAAGTCGGTGGCGCAGCTTCATATTCTGATGCTGGATGCATGCCGTTCTGCACAAGAGCGCCAGCAACGCCCAATGTCAACCTCACTGACACCGTCGCGTTTACTTTTGTTGAGAATGCACTTTCTGCATTTCTTTCTTGCGAAGTTATGCACGTAAGAAAAGGCCGCCTCGGCCTTGTTTCTGGCAAAAGGCCATCCGCATGCTGTTTTCCAACTCATGGGCATCTCCCATCCAGCTGCTGCCACCAAATGGAGAGTTGGATCTTTTCTGTTGTCACGGATTGAGTAAACCTGTCAAAAGTCAAGCAGGAAACTACGGCTGCGTCTTTCGATCCTTGCTGCTCGTCGACCACCTTCGAAGGCGTAGGCGGCAAGGGCAGACAGGAAGGCGAGGTGGAGTGAGGCGTCATAGGTATCGGGACATCATCTCCCATGTCCGCGCCTGGCGTCCTTGGAGCCTTTGGGGCTTTCCAACAGGAGAGCCTCGTTGTTGCAGCAAGACGGGAGCCAGAGCAGCCGTTGATTTGCCGGGATCTCCTCCAGCGCCTCTTCCGCGTAGATCAGCACGGTGTTTGATTTCCATCTCCCCAAAAACGCCACCTCCTGTAGAGGAAGCCCAGCCCTGACATAGATCATAGCGCCCGACCTGCGAGCAGAACCTGAAGATTCGAATCGTCTCAATACAAAATCGTTTTGGTGATCTGGGCAGAAACAAGGCGTATCGCGTCGAAATACCAAATCGCTTTCAATATGTTGAATCGCTTTAATCTGTTGGTACTTTGCCATTAATGGCCACTGGTGGCTGGTTTTGGCCATTGGTGGCCACGTGTTTGCGTGCAAGTTACAATTGCAAGTTAGCTTTGGCTCACTGTAAGCTGTTGAATGGCCACTGGTGGCTAGTTTTGGCCACTGGTGGCCACATGTTGGCATGCAATCTTATTGCAAGAATGCTGGCATTAGTTGGCTCAACCATGTGTGGGTCGCTTGTGGGCGAAGCAACACGCCAGAGCCTTGGGAAAGCTTTGCTGTGAGCACTGCATGATCAAAATGTTGCTTGGCTAAGAAAAAGGTTTTGCTTAGAAAGCTTATCCTGGCAGGGCAACATCGAAATCCACGACTCGTCTTCGGAGGCTCGTTGCTTCTTTTAGCAAATGTTATAACATTGTGTTGTCTCAGCTGCCTGTGTGACATCTGTCGGAACTGCAGGCCGAGTCCGAGCCCCAATGGATGCAGCTCCCAAACCAGGCGGCGCAGACGGCCCACCATTGGACGAAGA